CTTGGGAACACACTAAGTTTGAGTAATCTGAAAATTGCCGTCAGTGTTCCTTTTTAGAATTAATGTATCTGACTCTGCCACTAACATACCTATTTGAGGAGGTTTAAGTCCAGGCTCGGTTTGCTAGGTGTGGACGACTTTGGGCAAGTTACTTAACTCCTGAGAATCCTTAGCTGCCTCATGTGTAAAATGGGGACCGCAACAGTTGCCTGTTCCTTTACTGGGTGATGTGAGGAGCACATGGGTGACGTTCATATTTAGGAAGCACAGTGCCTTGTGCGTATGTGTAGAAGGCACCTCTCAGCTGTTGTTAGTTCTCTTATTCCGCTGGACTCCCTCACCTGCATGGTTCGGAACCCTTTGTAGTCGGCGAGAGCGACTTTCCCATGACCCCTTAGGTCCCCAATCACTCTGTATTTTTGTGTTCCCACCACCCTGGGGATGCTCTGCCGGGAATACCCCTGTCTCACTTCATTGCCCTGGTGAAATCCAGCCCCTTGATGGATTTCCCTAAGGCCAGCCTTCCAAATTCCTTCCAGCACTGACTCCTGACCCTTACTAAACCCAAAGGAGAGAGAGAAAAACAAATTGCTGTATGGGCCAGTGCATGGAGAATAAGGAAGCTCCGGAAGGCTTTGCAGGGAAGTAATAATGGTCTGGCTGGGCCATTATTAGGGACTCGGGAGGCTGGTTTCAGAGCGGTGAGGGGTGTGTAGGCCGGGACAGCCACAAAGGACATCTTCTGCAATAGTTGGAAGCCTCAATATCAACGAAATGGGAGGAGAGAGGCTTAAGAACAGCCCGATGTGGGCCTCAGGTGTTGCCCTTTGCTCTCCAGGCTGATCTCTCCATCTGCCTTTGTCAGTGGCATTTCTTCTAAATTCTGAGATACACTGTTGATGTGGATAATCTTCCAGTGGAAAAAAAAAGCCCCTATGTTACAGGTGTGCACCCAAATGTAAGATATTTCTTGGAATCAGAAACATTTGTGGAGATGAGAACCCAGCACATACGGTGGATCTGGGACTGTCAGGTGGTCTGAATGGCTTTGTGAGTCCTAAGGTGATGTCGGGGCACCTCCCACCTCTGTTCAAACCAACTAGAGTCTCGGCCTAGCCAGAGTCTCTTCCCTGAATGTCTGTTTACAGTTGAACACTTACCAGGTGAGGTGTTGCTTTGGGAAGCATTTGTGCATTTTTTTTTTTTAAGGGGCTTTAGTTTGTGGCCTGGGCTGGAGTGCAATGGTGCAATCATGGTTCACTGCAGTCTAGAACTCCTGGGCTCAAATGATCCTCCTGTCTCAGCCTCTTCAGTAGCTGGGACTACAAGTGTGTGCCACCACATCTGGCTAGTTTTTTAATTTATTTTAATTTTTTTTTTTTTTTTTTTTTTTTTTTTTTTTTTTTTTGAGACGGAGTTTCGCTCTTGTTACCCAGGCTGGAGTGCAATGGCGCGATCTCGGCTCACCGCAACCTCCGCCTCCTGGGCTCAGGAAATTCTCCTGCCTCAGCCTCCTGAGTAGCTGGGATTACAGGCACGTGCCACCATGCCCAGCTAATTTTTTTGTATTTTTAGTAGAGACGGGGTTTCACCATGTTGACCAGGATGGTCTCGATCTCTCGACCTTGTGATCCACCCGCCTCGGCCTCCCAAAGTGCTGGGATTACAGGCTTGAGCCACCGCGCCCGGCTATTTTAATTTTTTGAGACAGAGTCTTGCTCTGTTGCCCAGGCTGGAGTACAGTGGTGCCATCTTGGCCCATTGCAACCTCTGCCTACCAGGTTCAAGTGATTCTTGTGCCTTAGCCTCCTGCATAGCTGGAATTACAGGCATGCACCACCACACCCCACTAATTTTGGTATTTTTAGTAGAGACGTGGTTTCACCATGTTGGCCAAGCTGGTCTCGGACTTTTGACCTCAAGTGATCTGCCCTGCCTCGGCCTCCCAGAGTGCTGGGATTGCAGGCATGAGCCATTGCCCAGCCTCATTATTTTAATTTTTTTGTAGAGGCAGGATCTCGCTATGTTAACCAAGCTGGTTTACAATTCCTGGACTCAAGAGACCCTCTCCCTTCAGCCTCCCAAAGTGCTGGGATTACAGGGCATGAGCCACGGTGCCTGGCCCATTTGTGCATTCTGGTGAGAGCACCTGTAGTCCCATAGTATGGGCCAGCCTAAGGAGATGCAAGTTACCCTTTTAACACAGTGAGGGGGATTTCAGCTCTAAACCATTCAGGTCAAGCTGGAGAATGAGGTGCTAAGGGAGTGAGATACTCACAGAATGCCATTTTCTCAGAACCAGACTACCAAGTGTTGAAGCAAATCCTCAGCTCAGCTGGGACGGGCGGCATCTTTGGGCGTCTCCTAAGAAACCTGCTCCGGCCTCCCCTTGTCCTGTACTTCTTGCATACTTAGTTCCTAACTCAGTTATAGCTGCCCACCGGCACCCTCCTCACCGTTCCACCTCCACTAGATTCTGTACAGAGGCTGTGTTTACTCATTGCTGTGTTCCCAGGGCAGGGGCTGTACTGCTAATGAGGCAGGAGGTATGCAGCCCCTTCTTAAACCTAGGTGGGAGGTCAGGCCTGGTGGCTCACACTTAAAATCCCAGCCTTTGGGAGACTGAGGCAGGTGAATCACCAGAGGTCAGGAGTTTGAGATCAGCTTGGTCAACATGGTGAAACCTTGTGTCTACTAAAAATACAAAAATTAGCCAGATGTGGTGGCACGAAGCTGTAGTCCCAGCTACCTGGGAGGCTGAGGCAGGAGATTCACTTGAACCCAGGATGTGGAGGCTGCAGTGAACTGAGATCATGCCACTGCACTCCAGCCTAGGTGACAGGAGACTCCCATCTCAAAAAAAAAAAAAAAAATGCTGAGTGGGATTTATCACACAGTATTACAGGGCTTGAGCAGGTTGGAGCTGGGCACTTGGAAGGTGTATTTGTAGAGACTGCCAGCCTGGTGCTGGGGTGCTGAGTATGGTGATGGGTATGTGTCAGCCCACAAAGAGCGTTTACAGTGTACCTGAACTGTTCTAGACACTCTCTTGTAATAACTTCTGGAATCCTCGCACACCCTTGAGGTAGGTGTAGTTCTGTTCTATAGATAAGGAAATGGTACAAAGAGAAGTTCAGTGCCATGCCCCAAGGTCACAGGTTGGGGTTTGCAGGTGCCTGATTTTTTGTTTTTGTTTTTGAGACAGAGTCTCGCTCTATCGCCAAGCTGGAGTATAGTAGCACGATCCCAGCTCACTGCAACTTCCATTTTCCGGTTTCAAGCAGTTCTCCTGCCTCAGCCCCCCAAATAGCTGGGACTGCAAGCACACACCACCAAGCCTTATTTTTGCATTTTTAGTAGCAACGGGGTTTCACCATGTTGGCCAGGATGGTCTCGATCTCTGGACCTCGTGATCTGCCCGTCTCAGCTTCCCAAAGTGCTGGGATTACAAGTGTGAGCCACTGCACCCAGCCTGTTTTTGTTTATTTGAGATGGAGTTTCGCTCTTGTTGCCCAGGCTAGACTGCAATGGCACAATCTTGGCTTGCTGCAACCTCCACCTCCCAGATTCAAGAGATTCTCCTGCCTCAGCCTCCCAAGTAGCTGGAATTACAAGCGTCCACCACCCGTTCAGCTAATTTTTTGTATTTTTTAGTAGAAATGGGTTTTCGCCATGTTGGCCAGGCTTAGTCTCGAACTCCTGACCTCGGGTGATCTACCCGTCTTGGCCTCCGAGAGTGCTGGGATTACAGATGTGAGCCACGGCCCCCAGCCCGTGCCTGGATTTCAATCCCCGTTGCCTTACTCAAGAGATGTTCTCTAATTGGAATGCCAACCAGGCTCCATACACCATGCTTAGGAATTAGGCCTTCATAAGGTGCCAGGGAAAGTTGCTGCAGCAAACTGTTTTGGAAGGATGGGCTGGCAGTAGGATAGATGGGTCCCGAGGGCAGGAGACCCAGCATGAGCAGGTGCGGTCATGGTTCGGAGGAGGATGACAAGGCAGCACGGGGGATGCGCAGAAGGGTGCGTGTGAGAGCGCTCCTATCGCTCCTGCCACCTGGGTCTCTCGCCTGTGTCTACTTGGCAACTCCATCTCATTATGCTACTTCAGTGCGTTCCATGGTGTGGTCTCTGGAGCAGCGACTCCTGGGAACCTGTTAGAAATGTAAATTGGGGGGCGCCTAGCAGCCTGTGCTTCACGAGCCCTCTGGGCTGTGGGAGAGCCTGATGCAGGCTCATGTTTGTGAAGCACCATCCTAGTCTAAGCCACTAGCACCCAGCAGTGGGTGACCACAAGGGTCTTGTCCTTGCTTTGGCTCTTTGTTAGTCTCTCAGCCTTGCCCTGTACCCAGGGCTCGTGGCTCCGTTACCCACTGCATCACTGACACTGAGTTTACTGTGGTCAGCCTCACTTCTCAGTGGGTCCCTGAATTTAATCCGAGGGCCTCAGCCTCTGCCTCTGATGATTTCTCTACATTTCCTCAAACCTTGTACTTGGCTTCCCAGTCTGCAGTCTCCCAGTTCACCATTCACCTGTGACAGTGACACAAGGCTCAGCTGGACACACAGAATGCCTTGAGTGGCTCTTGTCTCCTCAACTCCGACAGTGAAACTGTGGGAAGAGCCTGAGGCTCTGGGCTCTGCTTGACTCAGAAGCTTGGTCCCTTCCCTTTGCTGAGGATTTGGTGTGCTCATGTGTGGAAGTGCTGACTTTTGCCTCTTCCCAGCAGTTAGCACAGTACCTTGCCAAGATGGCAGGAACTGGAAAGAAGGGCAGGAGGTGGCATAATAATTACAGTCGTGGGCGTTGGGATCAGGAAGTCCTGTATGTGACAATAATGCTTACTTCCTGAGATAAATTTAGAATTAAGGATGTCGTTGCATAAAATATTCCACAAAGAACCTAGTAACCGAAAGGACCAATATATTATTGAACTGAGCTTTGTTACCAGTGATGTAAGTGGCAGCATTGATCACATTGATATCTTTGTTTTTCAGGACTTGAAAATACTGGAAATCTGTCCAGATCCAAATTCTTCTGCAAGCCAGATGAGTAACCAGAGGGCATGAAAGGTTGAGAACACTTGACTTCCCTGCAAACCTGGGCATAGATCACTTCCTTTTCTGTACATTGGCACCAAAGAGCACAATGAGTACGGTAAGTTTTACCAGCTCTTGAATTTTTAATTTTTTTAGGGCTAATTACCATCTTGCTTGTAGCACGTTAATGAAAGTGAGTTCCATAATGGCACTTCTAAGTAACCTAGCTCTTAAAGGACTATGTATAGAATCTTTCTGGTAGTTACATCAGGTTACTTAATGAACTAAGTTCCAGTCGTAAAGGGCAGTGCCCTGAAGACAGAACTCTGAGAAGGAATAGCTTAGGGTTTGAAAATCGCAGGCCTTCAGAGCAGTTGTCAGTAACATAGAAATACTAAACTTTTTGGGTTTGGTTGTTTTGTTTTGGTTTGGTTTTTGCCTAGGCTGGAGTGCAGTGGTGCTATCTCAGCTCCCTGCAACCTGTTCCTCCAGGGTTCAGCTGGTTGTCTATTGCTCAGGCTGGTGTTGAACTCGTGACCTTGTGATCTGCCCACCTCAGCCTCCCAAAGTGCTGGGATTACAGATGTGAGCCACCAGGCCAGGCCTTTTGACTTGTTGGTTTTTAAAATTATTTGTAGACTGGGCATGGTGGCTTACAGCTGTAATCCCAACACTTGAAGGGGTTGAGACAATAAGATCACTTGACCCTAGAAGTTCAAGACCAATGAAGGCAACATAGGGAAACCCCATCTCTACCCCAAAAAAAATTCTTTTTCTTTTTTCTTTTTCTTTTTTTTTTTTTCCTAGAGTGCTCAGGAGGAAATTTTTTTTCTTTTTTAATTAGCCGCAGATCTTGGGAGGCTGAGGCAGGAAGATTCCCTAATGCCAAGAGTTCAAGGCTAGAATGAGCTATGATCACACCACTGCACTCCGGCCTAGATGACAGAGTGAGACCCTGTCTCTACAAAGTAAATAAATAAAAGTATTTGCAACCCAGTTTTCAGTTTTCCCTTCTACTTTATTTCCTATGACGTTCTTGGTTCAGTGTGAGCATGATAGTAATAATCCATAGTGAAAAGTTTCTTATATTCAGTGACCCAAGTTGATGTGTCATAATTACTGTTTAGAGCTTTTGTTTGTCTTTTGAGACAGAGGCTCACAATGTTGCCCAGGCTGGAGTGCATTGGTGTGATAATAGCTCACTGCAATCTCCACCTCCTGGAGTCAAGCAATCCTTTCACTTCTATGTCCTGAATGTCTGGGATTATAGGCATGCACTGTGCTTGGCAAAAAAAAAAAAAAAAAAAATTGAGCGCAGTGGCTCACGCCTGTTATCCCAACACTTTGGGAGGCCCAGGCCGGCAGATCATGAAGTCAAGAGATTGAGACCATCCTGGCCAACATGGTGAAACCCCGCCTCTACTTTAAAAATACAAAAATTAGCTGGGTGTGGTGGCACACGCCTGTAGTCCCAGCTACTCAGGAGGCTGCGGCAGGAGAATTGCTTAAACCTGGGAGGCGGAGGTTGCATCGAGCCAAGATCGCGCTACAGCACCCCAACCTGGCAACAGAGTGAGATTTTGTCTCAGAAAAAAAAAAAAAATGTAGGCATGGAGTCTTGCCTTATTGCCCAGGCTGATCTTGAACTCCTAGCTTCAAGCAGACCTCCCACCTGGGCTCCCAAAGTGAGCGACCATACCCAGACTGTGTAGAGCTTTTATCACATCTGTGAGGCACCTCTGGTGTGGTGTAACTCAGGTGTCACCTGGAACCCCTTTAGCTCTAGAGGAGATTGCCTGAAAGTCCCCCATCCCAGTTTATTCTCTACTGACAAAGTTCCCTCTGCAAGGTTGATCGAATGATCTAAACTCAAAATTGTTTTCTGAGATGCTGAATTCCGTATCAGGCAGATCAGATGTGAAATAGCCTGCTCATCTCTTCCAGTGCTCCAGAGGTGCTGTGAATGGTGTGGAAAGATGGATGGTGGGGGCAGGGTGAGACTGAATGAACAGTTCTGAGAAGGAACGGTGATGGAAATGCTGCTCACATCCTCTGACCCCTTTGGGTCCTCACCTCCTTCTGTTACTTCCGGACCGTTCCTGGCCCCCATTGTGCTCCAAGGCCCACTTTTGATGTGATACACAAAAAAGCCTGTTTCTCTGACCTCCCTCCCACCTTGGTGCTTCACCTGCAGATGACCACGTAGCTCGCCTGCAGGGAGATGGATGTTCTAAGCCTTACCTCTGAAGCCTCATCTCTGCCTAGGCCGGGTCAGAACAGGCAAAAAAAAAATGTAGTCTTTTATAAGTGCGTGTGAAGAAATTGGTTAAAATTCCTGAAAGTATGGTGTGGTTGTGATTAGATGGTCAGTTTTCACTAGAAGCTACCGACCTTGGAGGGCCCTGCTAGTTAAAAGGAGGAGAGTCATGACCAGAATTTATGGGAGGGCAAGAGGGGAAAGCCCTGCAAATATTCCTGGACCGACTGAGCCTGTCCTGAGTGGTCCAGGGAAGCCACTTGGGAGGAGGAGGCTCAGAGACAGTGGCGTGGGAGGGTGAAGGATGTCCTCAGGAGGGAGGTGACATTTAAGTGGATTCTGGAAAGCCGTGCGAGAATTGGCCAAGTGAAGAAAGGGAGGGATGGGCACTCCAGGCAGGGAAGAAGCTCTGGTGAAAGGCACGGAGGAGCAGACAGGAAAGAGGATTCCTGGGGTTAGGGAGGGGTGGAGACATTCCTGTAATTACCCATGCAGGAAGATTTAGGGTCCAGGACCCATGGCTGCCTTTTTGGCTCCCTCCATGGGGCCCAGAAACCACATAGGTAACCGTGTAGGGCATGAAGATCTCCTTAGCAGTGTCTAGTAAGACAGACTTAGTCTGCTGCAAGGGAAGGAGGCTACAAGGATGTTGTCAAAGAGAAGGGGGTAAATATTAAAGAGTCCTAAGTAACCTGGTGGCTGCTGGAGAAACCCTTTTTTTTTTTTTTTTTTTTTTTGAGACGGAGTTTCGCTCTCGTTACCCAGGCTGGAGTGCAATGGCGCGATCTCGGCTCACCGCAACCTCCGCCTCCTGGGTTCAGGCAATTCTCCTGCCTCAGCCTCCTGAGTAGCTGGGATTACAGGCACACGCCACCATGCCCAGCTGATTTTTTGCACTTTTAGTAGAGACGGGGTTTCACCATGTCAACCAGGATGGTCTCGATCTCTCGACCTCGTGATCCACCCGCCTCGGCCTCCCAAAGTGCTGGGATTACAGGCTTGAGCCACCGCGCCCGGCCGGAGAAACCCTTAAAGCACTGGGCAGTAGAACTCCCCTGAGGTTAGTGTCAGCTCCCTTGAGGCAAAGATGAGCTGCTCACTTTGAGCTGCTGCTGTCACTTGGCCGCTGGGCCCTCCTGGGGCTGGTTCTGTGCTCCTTAGACCATGAGAAGTTGCTATACCCAGCTTCGTTTCCAAAATATCTCAAGCTGTCATTTGATAGAGTAGCATTGGAACACAAGTAGAATTAGGCTTAGCCCTGTTGCCTAGCAAGGGCTTGGCTGTGTGGTGCGTGTTCCTGGGTCTTATATGAATCTCACCTTCAGTATTTGGTCCTTTCAGAGTTTCCTGGGTCAGAATGACCCCAGTAAGGCTAAGGAATTGGGACATTAGTAGCATCTTCCATCTCTGCACAGTACTTTGCATAATGATCTCATTTAGTCATTCTAACAGCTGTGCAAGGCTGGTACTGGTGAGGAACTTGAGACTTAGTAGTGCAGTACCTGTCCCAGGTGGTCAGGTGCGAAGGAGAGCAGGACAGGGCAGAGGGGAGAAGAGCATGAAAACGCAGTGGGAATGACAAGGCGACAGGCTGTTGGGAAGGTCTGTCTCCTGGTGAAGGTAGAGGATATTCTCAGCTCATCTTTTGGGACCAGCCAGACCAGAAATGCTGGCGCATATGGGCAAACCAGCAGCCCTAAGGATGTGGAAGAAAGGCTGGTCAGTGTCATCTGCAGATCCACCAGCTGAGAGCCTGAACCTTCTGGAAGACATGGCTCTTGGGCAGCCCCTGGGAACAGGCTTGAAACAGCTTTGGTTATTTGAGTTCTTTGTGGGAGATGATTGTCTGGTGTGAATCACACTTGATAATATCCCAAAAGGTTCAAGGCCACATTTCCCAAGGAAAGATAAGCTTTCCACAACATATAGAAACTCAGAAAACTTGAAGTTCTTTACTTTAAGAAACAGAAAGGGCTTAATAAGGCTGAACACAAAGTCAAGGAAGAGAAATTGATAACTTTTGGTTAAAGGGAAAGGTTTCCAGCCTTTTGGTCAGGGCATCCACTCCCAAGCTTTTGTAAAGGGGTGCATCTTGTCCCTTTTGACCTGCTGATAGATAGTTTGATATAACAGAAGTTGTACTTTATAGAATTTCTACTCATTGTATGTTTTGGATAATTTTCTTTCTCCGTAAGCATTCAGTATTCTGGAATCTCAAGTTTTGAAAGGAGCTCTAACTTCAAGTCTACTCACTGGCTTCTTAATGAGTTGAACTGTTTCTAGTGTTGCCCTTTTAGTTCTTCCTGAAACCCTGACATTCTGGTGGTCATGGACTATTTTTTCCTCCTTGCTACCCAGAGAAAGCGTCGTGGTGGAGCAATAAATTCTAGACAAGCCCAGAAGCGAACTCGGGAAGCAGCCTCCACCCCGGAGATTTCCTTGGAAGCAGAGCCCATAGAACTCGTGGAAACTGGTAAGATAGCCAGGGGCACTACAACTGTGGGGTGTTAAAGTGGAGAGAGAACACTGTAGCAGGGTGAGCTATCAGAAGGTGTTTTCAGTGTCTTCAGAAGGCTTATGCAGTCTCACACTCACCATTTACAACTCAAGGGCCCGTCTTTAAAAAAGAAAAATCGCCGGGCGCGGTGGCTCAAGCCTGTAATCCCAGCACTTTGGGAGGCCGAGGCGGGTGGATCACAAGGTCGAGAGATCGAGACCAACCTGGTCAACATGGTGAAACCCCGTCTCTACTAAAAATACAAAAGATTAGCTGGGCATGGTGGCGCATGCCTATAATCCCAGCTACTCAGGAGGCTGAGGCAGGAGAATTGCCTGAACCCAGGAGGCGGAAGTTGCGGTGAGCCGAGATTGCGCCATTGCACTCCAGCCTGGGTAACAAGAGTGAAACTCCGTCTCAAAAAAAAAAAAAAAAGAAAAATCGGCTGGGCGCGGTGGATCACGAGGTCAAGAGATTGAGACCATCCTGGCCAACATGGTGAAACCCCGTCTCTACTAAAAATAGAAAAATTAACTGGGCATGGTGGCGTGTGCCTGTAATCCCAGCTACTCGGTAAGCTGAGGCAGGAGAATTGCTTGAACCTGGGACGCGGAAGTTTCAGTGAGCCGAGGTCATGCCACTGCACTCCAGCCTGGCTATGGAGCAAGACTCTGTCTCAAAAAAAAAAAAGGAAAAATCTCCAGTGCAAATGAGATGGCCCCACCTTTTCTGTTTGAAATTGCATCTCCCAATTCACTTGACCTTGTAAAGTACTTGGCTTTCCTCTTCTGTTTTTCATTAAGACATAAAATCACCCCAGAAGGTAAATCTGTCCACAGAGCTCCCTGTGTTGGAACTTGGTGTAGGCAGAGGTCAGACTGGATTTCCCCTTTATACCTGCTCAAGAAGTGGTTGATGGCCAGCCTGAGTTAAGTACCTTTGCCCTGCATATATTGTTTTTATAACTAGGATACCTGCAAGCTGGCATTTTAAAGAGAAACAACGTAGTGCAAGATGGGCCCCCCAAGAGTAGTGAGTTCTCTGTGGTCTCTGAGTTTCACGTCTACGAGTGGGTTCTTAAATGCTTTGACTTACTTCAGTAGAGGTTAGGACCCTGTCTCTAGACCAGAAAGGAACCAGCTGCTTTCCAACGTGGCACTTGTTATCCTTAAGGAGGTCCTTACCCCTGTGCAAGGGTGTGTGCCTAGGGCTGCCCATTAGAGCACTGTTTTTGTAAGACTCAGAGCTGTGTTCACCAGAAAGAGAACGGTTCAATAAATTATTGTATATCAGTATATGGACTGTTGGGCAGCCCATCTTTTTAATAAAAAATGCAGTGATTTTTATATAAATCATATTGTACATCTAAGATTATCATGGTTTTTATTCTTGTGAAACTTTATGATACAAGAAAATAAAACAGATTGGCCAGATTGCTTGAGCTCAGGAGTTCCAGACCAGCCTGGACAACATAGCAAGACCCTGTCTCTACAAATGAAAAAACTAGCCAGATGTGGGAGGCTGAGGTGGGAGGATCACACGAGCCAGGAACATTGAAGCTGCAGTGAGCTGTGACCATGCCACTGCACTCCAGCCCGGGCAACAGCAAGACCCCATCTCAAAGGGAAACAAAAGAAGTTAAGATACGTAGGCCAGGCACGGTGGCTCACAACCTGTAATCCCAGCATTTTGGGAGGCCGAGGTAAGTGGATCATCTGAGGTCGGGAGTTCGAGACTGGCCTGGCCAATATGGTGGAAACCTTGTCTCTACTAAAAAAAAAAAAAAAAAAAAAATTAACCGGGCATGGTGGTGGGCACATGTAGTCCCAACTGCTGCGGAAGCTGAGGCAGGAGAATCGCTTGAACCCAGGAGGTGGGGGTTGCAGTCAGCTGAGATCGTGCTACAGCACTCCAGTGTTCAGAGCAAGACTCCCTCTCAAAAAATAAAAAGATAGGTTAAATGCATTACAAGACACTTGCCTCAAATATTACACTACTACTATTTCTAAAAATCTTAACTTCATTTATTGCCTTTTTTTTTTTTTTTTTTTTTTTTTTTTTGAGACGGAGTTTCGCTCTTGTTACCCAGGCTGGAGTGCAATGACGCGATCTCGGTTCACCGCAACCTCCGCCTCCTGGGTTCAGGCAATTCTCCTGCCTCAGCCTCCTGAGTAGCTGGGATTACAGGCACACACCACCATGCCCAGCTAATTTTTTGTATTTTTAGTAGAGACGGGGTTTCACCATGTTGACCAGGATGGTCTCGATCTCTGGACCTCGTGATCCACCCGCCTCGGCCTCCCAAAGTGCTGGGATTACAGGCTTGAGCCACCGCGCCCGGCGCCTTTTTTTTTTTTTTTTTTTTTTTTTAAGATGGGGTTTCACCATGTTGGCCAGGCTGGCAGGCTGGTCTCGAACTCCTGACCTCAAGTGATCCTCCCACCTTGGCCTCCCAAAGTGCTGGGATTACAGGTGTGAGCCACCACGCCCGGCCCATTTATTGCTTTTTAATGTTAATAATCAGAAAAATGGTTGTAAGTCATTTTTTATTTTACATAAATGGAAGTTGTACGTTAACTGTTTGGTCCATGTCCTTCTTACCTTCATCCTGAGTTCATGTAGACATCACAGTATACCCTAGGGCTGAAAGGCAAGCTTCACAACAGATGCAACCCATTTCGTGTGTTAAGGTTCTAGGGACCAATAAATACCACTGTTCTTCTCCATCCCAGTAGGAAGACACTTGAGAGATAAATAGAGATAAAAAGTTTGCCCCAGATAAACCGACAAAATTATTAAGCTAAGCCAGACTAGGTCTCTGGGCCAAGTGAGAGTGGTCTGCTTCCGCTGCTGGGAGTAGCAGACGTTTCAGGCCAGTCTATCCCAAAGAGAAAGGCCTGGGGCTGAGCGTGCATGGTGCCTTCTCCCAGGTGGGCACAGAGGCATAGCTATGTGGAATTGGGATGCCGTGGAATAGAGGTGTGCACACGTGCACTCATACCCCCGTGCTACGTTTGTCAAAACCATCCATCCCTTCTCAGAGCAGAATTCTGGAAGCGTGTTTACTGGCTTTCACTCCTGAAGCAGATGTTGGTCCTGGTGCTCTTTGCAGTGTGTACTTGAGGATTAGTTTAGTTTCGCGTAAGCCTGTATTACATTTGCAGTCATACTAAAGTGTAGAGGGATACAGCCTTACTTTATTCTTAATGCTTGTTGAAATACTTTCTTTGGAAGCTGGAGATGAAATTGTGGACCTCACCTGTGAATCTTTAGAGCCCGTCGTTGTTGACCTGACTCACAATGACTCTGTTGTGGTAAGTGTTGGGAGTGTGATCAAGTCGGCTGTTTCTTGGGTGTGGGTCCCTGGCCAGTGCCAGCATCTGACAGCCTTGGTCACAGACTGCAAGTCAGGGTTACAACTTGTGCTAAAGAAGTTCAGACATCTTGTGGAATCGAACTTTCAAAAAGGGAAAAACGGCCAGGCACGGTAGCTCCTGTAATCCCAGCACTTTGGGAGGCTGAGGTGGACAGATCACGAGGTCAAGAGATCGAGACCATCCTGGCCAACATGATGAAACCCGGTCTCTACTAAAAATACAAAAAAACAATTAGCTGGGTGTGGTGGCGTGCGCCTGTAGTCCCAGCTACTTGGGAGGCTGAGGCAGGAGAATTGCTTGAATCCAGGAGACAGAGATTGCAGTGAGCCGAGATCACACCACTGCACTCCAGCCTGGGCGATAGTGCAAGACTCCATCTCAAAAAAATAAATAAATTTTTTTTTTTTTTTTTTTTTGAGACGGAGTTTCGCTCGTTACCCAGGCTGGAGTGCAATGGCGCGATCTCAGCTCACCACAACCTCCGCCTCCTGGTCTCAGGCAATTCTCCTGCCTCAGCCTCCTGAGTAGCTGGGATTACAGGCACGCGCCACCATGCCCAGCTAGTTTTATTGTATTTTTAGTAGAGACGGGGTTTCACCATGTTGACCAGGATGGTCTCGATCTTTCAACCTCGTGATCCACCTGCCTCGGCCTCCCAAAGTGCTGGGATTACAGGCTTGAGCCACCGCGCCCGGCATAAATTTTTTAAAAAAGAAAAAAGCAATAGCAAAAAAGAAGTTCTTGCATTTAGTGATGAGAACTCAAACTGAAAACTATTTCAGGAAAATCATGTTACCGCTTTGTTGCCCATGAAGTAGATCTGTGTGACCTGACCTTGCCACACCTGGGGGTGAGCCACTGCACCCGGCCATATTTAGTTTTAGGGGTTTTTTTTAACTGTTTTTGTTGTTGTTGTTTTCAGACAGAGTCTTACTCTCTCACCCAGACTGTGCTGGAGTATAGTGGTGCGATCTTGGCTTACGGCAACCTCTGCCTCCCAGGTTCAAGCGATTCTCCTGCCTCAGCCTCCTGAGTAGCTGGGATTATGGGCACTCGCCAGCACGCCCAGCTAATTTTTGTATTGTTTCTTAGTAGAGACAGGGTTTCACCATGTTGGCCAGGCTGGTCTTGAACTCCTGACCTCAAGTGACCTGCCCGCCTCACCCTCCCAAAGTGCTGGGATTGCAGGTGTGAGCCACTGCGCCCAGCGCGTGGTATCATTCTTACACTGAAGCCTCATCTGTAAGCTGTTTTTCTCTCATTGAAAATAGGCACAGTCAGAATTGTTACCAGCGAGGAAACACTCTGGCCGCCCTGTTCTTACAGCCCAGTAGTTGTGTGTGTATCACCTGCTGTTTGCCAGCAGCCCCTGGGCTCAGTGCTCAGGACAGGCTTAAGTTTGGCCCCCCCCCTGGGGGGAAGCTGAGTATGACTCACAGGAGACCATACTCAGTATGCACACTCTCATTGCTGGGGGACGGGGGGCGTCATCCTCCTTCCGGGTGTCCATACCTAATTAGTGGGCCATCTTGGCAGAGGGTAGGGGCATATCGGAGCTGTAGGAAGCTGAGGTCATTTCTACCCATAGAAGAATTTCCTTCTGCTCCCAGGTAAATCCAGGGCTTTTTCCAAGGGCCAAAGCTATTATCAGAGCCTCTTTTTCTAGATTTCATGTAGATAGTACATTGTGCCAGCCCTGCTAAGTTTGGTCCTGATGATGAGGTTGACTGTCCCCAGATTTCTTCTGTCACCTTCTGCAGTCTCCTCTAAGAGTCAAGGGGGACACTTTTCAGTGGCTCCACACGTGTGGATTATATTCTTAACCACAAATCAAAGACCTTTGTACTGAGGCCTGCATCCTGCATGCATGGCCATTTATGTATGTCAGGATGCCATTTTGGGAACAATCCAGTCTAATTATTCCTAAGCTTAGTGGATTTTAACATGGAAGGAGAATCCTAAATGAGGAATCTCTGGGTTGGGTCTCCAGGAATAACTCTTGACTTCAAAGCACTGACCCACCTAGGGAGCTGCTATGTCTGCTCCAAGATGGTCTGGAGGCACTAATATCTTTGGGTTCAGGTAGATACTACTGCAGATCCTTTTTAGGGAGGAGAGGCCTGGGCTCGAGACATAGCAGCCCATTCCAGAACTGTTTCTTCATGACGCAGCTCTGCCTGCCAGTGCCAGCATCCATAGCAGCCCAAATCAGACTGCACCCCTGCCCTGCCAGTAGCACAAGTGTGTCTGAGTGAGGGTACCCAGTTCATATCCAGGATCCTGGCTACACGGGAGTCAGAGTAGAGGATGAGAGCTTCTTATCACTGTGGGGCAGGATGTCCTGCCAGTCAGAACTTAGGCAGTGAGAACTTGTCCTGAAGCAGTCCCTCCTGCATGCTGAGCAAGAGGGAAAGGTGTTCCACTGACCTCCCTAGGTGGGTAAGAGCACTTTGCCAGAGGCGGGAGGAACCAAGTTTGAAACTGTTGGAGCAGAAATCGTCTAAATGTAAGTTCTTAGCTGGCAGTTGAGGGGCTTGTCAAGTTTTTAGTCTTGTCTATTCTTAGGCCCCCAGGACACAGAATTGGGTTGATCTCAGTCCTTGGTGTCTTTCACACCCATTGGTCCATGCATAGCCTGCTCTTCTTCTGAGTTATTTGTAACCGCCTACTGAGCAATGCAGATCCTCTTCTGCATCAAGGCTCCACCTTGGCAGTTGCTGACATGAGCCGTGTCAGCACAAGAGAGCCTGGTGCCCCGTGCTGTGCTGTGCTGAATGTTCACTGCCTCATGTCATCCTCACAACAGCTTGGTCGGACATGGGCTCTGGTGCCTCTGTTTTCCAGAAGAGGAAGCTGCAGCCCCCAGATAGTAAGGTCCCCACGTCCTGCAGCCAGCATGTGATGTGGCTGTGGCTGGCTGTGTTCATGTTCCTAGAGACACCACTAAACACCCAATGGGGAGAGGCACAGCCTATCAGCTGGGAGGTGGAGTGACCTGGGAAATGGGCTTGACTGGGAGAGGTGCACAGATTCTCTGCAGGTGGGAGGAGATTTGGGGGGCCTCTGCTGCCCACCAGAGGATTCTACAGAGGGTGTCACATATCAGAAAAAAGAAATGCCTTCATTTATCACTTACATCAAACTGATTGCTTGTTTCTCTTTTGTTTTTCCTCTTCCTTTTTGCAAGATTGTTGACGGTGAGTGGTTTTGTCTCCTTTTTCCCTGGGTTTGGAGAGAAAACTGGCATAGGTGAGAGCTGAGGGGCTGCAGGCCTCGCCAGACTATACCCAAGGGCTTGGAGCACTCCAAGCAGGAAGATTGCAACGCAGATCCTGTGGTCAGACCCGCACAATCAGTCCCCCTTGTGCCTGCTGGAAACACTTCACCCCTATCACTGAGCACTGAGCTACGTCATCCTGCCTTGTGGCCTACCAGATTTTGGAGAAGGCCAGCAGCTCACAACAGGGCTTGGGAGGTTTCTCCTGGGAAGATGGGACAGTGGCCTCCAGAGCAGGGCAGGACCTTCTGGGGCATAGCTGAACACAGCAGCAGTTTCTCTCCGGGGGCCCCAGGCAAGGAAGGAACAGGGTCTTAGAGGCATCAGGAGGGGGTGGTGAGGATGGTAAGAGCAGGGAGCCTCCAATGTGAAAATGTGACCTCTTACCTTAGAAAGGAGAAGACCAAGGAGGAATGCTAGGAGGCTACACCAGGACCATGCTGACAGCTGCGTGGTGAGCAGTGATGATGAAGAGTTGTCCAGGGACAGAGACGTGTATGTGACTACCCACACTCCCAGAAACACCAGGGATGAGGGCGCTACAGGCCTCAGGTACCAACATGCCCCCAGCTCTGCTGCTGCCATGCTAGGGTGTGGGGCCAGGGCAGAGAAATACTTCTCAGCAAATCTGTGAGCCCTTGGCCCTGGAAGGGCTTGGTGAAGCTTCTGCCCCGCATCTGGATACAGTTGGACCTGGGTCTAGAACTGAGCGCAGTTGTTCCCACTGTAACCAGAATATGTGAGCACTAACAGGTGGGCACAAACAGTCCCAGTGGCTGCAGACAGGGATTCTGGGGCCGGTGGGGACCCAGGGGAGGGCAGGGTGGCTCAGGCTGTCTGTACCTTCTCTCGTTCCCCTTTCTCATGTTCACCCTGCCACATACCCATGAGGCAGTTGGCTTTCCCAAAAGTCTCATGGGTGCCCACGCTAAAGCAGAGTCGAGGAGGCCAGGGGCGGGACTCTTGCAGGGGATACAGACACTTAAATGAAGGCCACTTACAGAGTATAATAGAATGTTTGCATTTACTGAGGAACTAATGTGAAGCACTGTGATCTTAGGCCCTCTGGTACTGTCAGCTGTCCGATCTGCATGGATGGATACTCAGAGGTAAGTAGACCAGGCTGGATCTTCCTTGCTTCTGGTTTCTAAACTTCAGTGAAAGAATTGAGTGAGACGGGATCTTCTCCTTTGGTGGCATTTGACACCTCTACTTGCAGTCAGGCCTGGTCCATCCCCTGCTGCAGACCTGTCTGTGAGGGGAAAGTGCCGGTTTCTCCTTGGACCCTGCAACCTTCACCTTCCCCTGTATGCCCTGAGCTTCCAAGTGTAAATGCATCCTCCTTTCACATCCCCCATTCTGGCTCTCACTGGAAGCTGCTAGTGTTTCCTGGGGTCCCTCTTAACCCTCCTGGGCTGCCACACTGTTGAAATTCCACAGCCCCTGTTGGCTGCTGCAGCCCGGCTCGCTCTTCCTTCTAATTGGTCATCTTAGACATAGACAGGGGTGGGATTCTCTGGGGACAGTGGCTGCTCTGGGACAAGGGCAAACTCAGGCTCTTCTTTTTAATGCCTTCTAGATTGTGCAGAATGGACGTCTCATCGTTTCCACAGAATGTGGCCATGTCTTCTGTAGCCAGTGCCTCCGTGATTCCCTGAGGAATGCTAATACTTGCCCAACTTGCAGGAAAAAGATCAACCACAAACGGTACCACCCCATTTATATATGAAGTGTTCAGAGCTGCTCAGGGGAGACGGCCGGCCGGCCGGGTTCTCCAGTGGTACCTATCTGCCTCCGTTTTCCTGAGCTCAAAAAGACTGTTGAAACCAACGCCCGATATGTAAACTGCTCTTCTGTTTCCAACCCCTTCCTTTGTTATCTCCAGTTGGATGCCATGGCGCTGGACCCAGGACCCTCCCAGGTCATCTCTATTCCTCTGGGGTGGTCGGGAGAAGGGGAGGTCAGGCACATTGTACTTGGGAATCGTGGTTCTAGTCTGGTTGGAGAACGTGCGCAGTTGCCAAGAAATTTTCCCTGTTTGGAAAGTTTGCCCCAGCTGTCCCGGGCACCCCACCTCGTGTCCCAAGTGTCTGCCGGTTGACCAGTCTGCCTGCCCACACATTGACCAAGCCAGACCTGGTTCACCCAGCTCGAGGATCCCAGGTGCAAGAGAGGCCCCTTGAGGCCCTGGGAAAGGCCAGTCACTGGACTTCTTCCCTTGAGGTCGCCATGGTTCCACCTGCACCTTGTCACCGATCTGCAGTGATTTCTGCAAAAAGAGAACTGCAGGGCAACCCCCGTTCTCTAAGAAGGAAAAAGTGCAATAAAGGCCGTTCTTGCCCTGCTTTTCAGCAGCCTGCAAGGTGTAGCACCGTTAGCACCCCCCTCAGAGGCCTAATGTTGCTTGCGGAGCAGTGCCCATCCCAGCCCTTTTCTGCCCACCAGCTGTTCTCAGGAACCTTACCCACGCTCCAGCGTCCTTCACCTGGCACAGGACGTGCAGGTCAAATAGGGCAGGCACTTGTGTGGGTGTCCTCTCCTTTCTGATAAAATCTATCCTGTGTTCACGCACCCTCCAGTCCTCAGATCCTCAGTTCCCACTGCCTAATGTCTGCCCCCGCATAGATGCTGAGAGGTGGTGGCAGTAGTTGTGGCCTTATCAGCTGCTCAGTTCCAGGCTTTTGCCCAAGGCACTGTTGCCCCATGTTTCAGAGAACCTGGCCCACCTGACTTGGCTTTCTCATCCTTCCCGACCCAGTGGCATTTATTTCAGAAACTACTGGGCTTGGATCCTTTGGGCTTTGGACTACTCCATAGGTTTTGATTGGTAAACACGGTGGCTTATCCCCCACAGGAACCCAGATGACAACCTCTCCTTCACTCCGCAGGTGTGTGGGAGCCTTGGGTTCTCTCAAGAGGCAGCAAAGTGCCCCTGACAGCATAGGGCCTGGGGGTGGCTAATGAGAGAGGCCTTAGAGTGCCAGCCTGCCTCCTCTTCCTCACTCCTCCTTCCTCAGAGAGCTTCACGCCAAACCAACGGGCTTTTCATGTGAAACAGCTTCAGAGTGGGAAAGGGGCCACTTCTGGCTTTGTTAGCAATAACTGACCTTCAGTTTACCCTTCTGAAGGAGCAGGAACTCAGCACAGAGCTCACTTTAAATGGGGCTGAAGGAGTGTCCCTCCTCTATGTGAAAAGAACATTGTTTTATTCTTCATTCTGACTTTTTAACTGTTTGGCTCAGTTAGTTTGAATGAAAATCATAATTTTCTACCTGGAATTGAAGAGGGCAGGAGGCTCACCTCTCATTGTCATGATGTGTAGCGTGTCTGCCCTCTGACTGGACATCATTGCCATTAACTTTCTTCTGGGCGTCATGGCAGCATCATGATGCCCAGACTTGGAGCAAGGCAACCTTGGAGCCAGTCCACGAATAAAATATGGTAACACCCATTTTTAAATTTCTTTAAGTTTTATCCTTAAAGATAACTCAAATGGTTGATTATGAAAGTTGTATTACTTCGTCCTAAATTAAATTGGTAAAAAAACTTTTTTAATGTGTTTGGTTTCTACTATTCAGAAACTGCAAACTAGGAAAAGGTTGGTATGAAAAAATCTCTCTCCTTTTTTCAATGTACATAGTTCAGCTTTTTCTTTGTTACATTTAAACTATATCCATGGATATCAGTCTGTTTTGGACTCCTCTGCTAGTGTTAAAGATGGAAATAAAACCATTAATTTGAACCAAATAGCTTTGACACATTCATTTGCTCTTTGGAATTAGTCTGTTTCCCCGCTTTGCCAACGTGTGGGGTTCTTATCTGCCTTGCGTTGAGTATATTTCGCGTCGGTGTGTGTTCATGAAGTTTGCCTGTTCTAAATCCAGCAAGCATGTGAAAGGCTGTTCTTAGGACAGAGCCACAAGCCCAAGCCTGGAGTCCCTGAGAGAGCAGGGTCGAGAGTCACAGTTGACCGAGAAGCTGTCTGCCCAGCTTGGCCAGCCTGGGGGTGCTGCTCTGAGTGGGATGGACTAAGATTGCCCTGGAGACATTGCACTGCAGTGCCCCCCTTTGACCCTGGCTACCCAGATACAGAATTTGCCCTCTGAGCAGGAGTCATTGCTGGGAGTACATAGATGTGCCAGCCACTGCCACAGGTGAGCAGTGCCAGCAAAACCACAAGGAGGGAATGGACTTGGCAGTGTGGCCAAGCTCTCCCTTTGTCTCTGCTCTCCTCTGTACCTATCCAGCTGTCCCCGGGGATGAAAAAGACACATGCTGGCTGCCTGACTCCCAAAGGCCTACCATCTAGTGCAGGTAGTTGGCTTACCATGCTCCTGGCACCACACTTGTGGCTCTGTGGGCAATGAGACAGACATCCTGAACATGGTTCAGAGGAGACAGTCACTCCCCCAGGCCAGTAGGAAATTGAAACTGGCGAGGGTGAGGAACAGGGAAACGGGAGAGCCGGCAGCAAGAAGCTGAACCTGTCCAGAGAGCTCTCCCTGCGCAAGGGCTGCGGAGTTGCCATCCTCAAGGTCCAGAAAGCTCTCTAGGGAAAGAGGAAAGAACCAGAGACCCAGGCTAGGCCTGTGAAAGGTGTGAGAAGGACTTCCTCCTTGCTGGCGTACAGTAGGAGCTGCAGGCCTCCCTAGTACCGGAAGGCATTGGACCAGATACTTCTGGTGACCACTTAGGGCCTGGCAGTTTTCTATTCCAGGAAGAAGCCCAGGGGAGGCAGGGAGCAGTGTATCTGTAAGACCGGTACCGACAGTGTGGGTCTGGTCCTGGACAGGAGGGAGCCCCACGGCTAGTTGTGGAAGGGGGCTGTTGTCTAGGTTACTTAACTTTTTTTTTTTTTTTTTTTTGAGATGGAGTTTCGCTCTTGTCACCCAGGCTGGAGTGCAATGGCGCGATCTCGGCTCACCGCAACCTCTGCCTCCTGGGTTCAGGCAATTCTCCTGCCTCAGCCTCCTGAGTAGCTGGGATTACAGGCACGTGCCACCATGCCCAGCTAATTTTTTGTATTTTTAGTAGAGACGGGGTTTCACCATGTTGACCAGGATGGTCTCGATCTTGACCTCGTGATCCACCGGCCTCGGCCTCCCAAAGTGCTGGGATTACAGGCTTGAGCCACCGCGCCCAGCCTAATTTTTGTATTTTTAGTAGATACGGGGTTTCACAATGTTGGTCAGGCTGGTCTTGAACTCCTGACCTCGTGATGTGCCCACCTCAGCCTCCCAACCTGGCATAGTACTTTTTTCACCCAGGATTTCTTTTGTTTTTTTGTAGAGACAGGATCTCACTATGTTGCCCTGGTATGAGCTCCTGACCTCCAGCAATCCTTCTGAATATGGTCTGAAAATATTTCATGGTACTGTGTGCTATGGATAACTGGGTTCTCAAAAAGCAAAAACATAGAAAAGGGTGTACTACTGCATTGTAAGATTCATTCATGTTGTGTAGTTCATTTTTCTCACTACATTTGTTATATGTACATATATATGCTGGATTTGCTTCCATTTATCCATTCTTTTGGTCATGTAAGTTTTGGGGCTACTACTGGCCAATAAATGAACATTCTGTATGTCTCCTTTGGTGCAGTTTTCCTCACACATTTAATGGGCATATACGTACAGGGGAAATGACTGGACTGTAGGGTATGGACATACTGAAAAGCTCACAAATATATGGAAATTAAATAGAACACTTAACCAGTGGGTCAAAGAATACATCACAAGAGAAATCAGAAAATACTTTGAAAACGAAAAGACAACATACCAAACCTTATGCAGCGAAAGCTCTGCTCAGGGGAATATTTGTAGCTGTAAACACCTACACTAAAACATCTCAGGCCAGCCTGGTGGCTCACGCCTGTAATCCCAGCACTTTGGGAGGCCAAGGTGGGTGGATCACTTGAGGTCAGGAGTTCAAGACCAGCCTGGCCAGCAAGGTGAAACCTCATCTCGCAGTGTATACAGATACTCATTTTGTATTTATAAAAAAAAAAATTGGCCAGTCAACATGGTGAAACCCCATCTCTGCTAAAAATACAAAAATACTCACTCTGTTGCCAAGCTGGAGTGCAATAGCGCGATCTTGGTTCACTGCAGCCTCCCCCTCCTGGGTTGAAACGGTTCTCCTGCCTCAGCCTCCCGAGTAGCTGGGACTACAGGTGTGTACCACCATGCCCAGCTAATTTTTGTATTTTTAGTAGCGACGGGGTTCCATCCACCATGTTGGCCAGGATGGTCTCAATATCTTGACCAGGCGTCCCCAAACTTTTTACACAGGGGGCCAGTTCACTGTCCCTCAGACTGTTGGAGGGCCGCCACATACTGTGCTCCTCTCACTGACCACCAATGAAAGCGGTGCCTCTTCCTGAAGTGCGGCGGGGGGCTGGATAAATGGCCTCAGGGGGTCGCAGTTTGGGGACGCCTGATCTTGACCTTGTGATCCACCCACCTTGGCCTCCCAAAGTGCTGGGATTACAGGCTTAAACCACTATACCTGGCCAGCCGTTTCTTAAAATGCAAAACTAAATAAAAGGAGACTATAGCCGGGCGCGGTGGCTCAAGCCTGTAATCCCAGCACTTTGGGAGGCCGAGGCGGGTGGATCACGAGGTCGAGAGATCGAGACCATCCTGGTCAACATGGTGAAACCCCATCTCTACTAAAAATACAAAAAATTAGCTGGGCATGGTGGCGCGTGCCTGTAATCCCAGCTACTCAGGAGGCTGAGGCAGGAGAATTGCCTGAACCCAGGAGGCGGAGGTTGCGGTGAGCCGAGGTCACGCCATTGCACTCCAGCCTGGGTAACAAGAGTGAAACTCCATCTCAAAAAAAAAAAAAAGGAGACTATAGCATAAAATAATATGAAACACGTAGGGAATAAGTCCGACAAAAGATGTATTACACAAGTAGACTAAACCTCAAAACATTGTTAAGACTAAATAGGGCCGGGCGAGGTGGCTCACGCCTGTAATCCCAGCACTTTGGGAGGCCGAGGCGGGTGGATCACGAGGTCAAGAGATCAAGACCAGCCTGGTCAACATGGTGAAACCCCGTCTCTACTAAAAATACAAAAAATTAGCTGGGCGTGGTGGCGCGTGCCTGTAATCCCAGCTACTCAGGAGGCTGAGGCAGGAGAATTGCCTGAACCCAGGAGGCGGAGGTTGCGGTGAGCCGAGATCGCGCCATTGCACTCCAGCCTGGGTAACAAGAGCGAAACTCCGCCTCAAAAAAAAAAAAGACTAAATAAATGTATATAAACATAGCTCATGTACTGGAAGATGCAATATTGTTAGACATCACTATCTCCAAATTGATCCGTACATTCCACACAATCTTTGTTAAAATTGACCAGATTTTTTAAAGAAATTGACAAGCTGATTCTCAAATTCATATGAAATTCACAGGCATTCCTGTGAAATTATGAAATTCCTGTGAATTTCAAATGAATATGAATATTCAAAACCACACGTAAAAATCACAGTATTTTTGTATTTATAAAATAATACAAAATACAGGCGGTGGCCCACACCTGTAATCCCAGCACTGGGAGGCCGTAACAGAGGATCACTTGAGCTTGAGCCCAGGAGTTCGTGACCAGCCTGGGCAACATAGTGAGACCTCATCTCTACAAAAATTAAAATAAAATTAGCTGGGCACGGTGATGAGTGCCTGTGGTCCCAGCTTCTCAGGAGACAGGTGGGAGGGTCAGTTGAGCCTGGCAGTCCAGGCTGCAGTGAGCTGTGATTGAGCCACTGCGATCCAGCCTGGGTGGTAGAGTGAGATCCCATTTCAAAATAAATAAATAATAGAAGAATAAAGTTGGAGGATTTAAACTCTCTCTTATGCTAAGATTTATAAGGCTTCTGTGATCTGTGTGGTGTTGATATAAAGGTTGACAAGTAGATAAATGGCACAGAATAGAGCCCAGAAATAGACATGTGTACAGTCTATTTTTGACAAGTGTCCAAAGGCAATTTAGTGGACAAAATATAGACTTCAGCAAGTGGTACTGAAATTCCATATACAACAGATACTTCAGCCTTACCATGTACAAAAATTACCTCAAAATGAAGCATGGAACTAAATGTAGAACTTAAAACTATACAAGTTCTGAAATGGAGAAAAGCTTTGTGATTTTGTGTCAGGAAAGAATTATAGTAGTAGCATAAGAGGAAAACAAGTTGGATTTGATTAAAAAAATAAGAAGAACTTTTGCACCTTAGAATACCATTAAGACAAAGAACCAGCTGGGAGCAGTAGCTCATGACTGTGATCCCAGAACTTTGAGAGGCCAAGGTTGGCGGATCACTTGAGCCTGGGAGTTTGAGAACAGCCTGGACAACATAGTGAAACTCCATCTTTACATTTAAAAAAAAAAAAAAAAAACCAAAAAGCTGGGAATGGTGGTGTACACCTGTGGTCCTGGATACTTGGGAAGCTGGAATGGGAAGATTGCCTGAGCCCAGGAATTCAAGGCTTCAGTGAGCCATGATCACACTTCTGCACTCCAGCCTGGGTTAGAGAGTGAGACCCTGTCTCTAAAATAGTGAGATCGTGGCCAGGCATGGTGGCTCATGCCTGTAATCCCAGCACTTTGGAAGGCTGAGGCAGGCAGATTATGAGGTCAGGAGTTCAAGACCATCCTGACCAACATGATGAAACCCCATCTCCACTAAAAATACAAAAATTGCCGGGCGCGGTGGCTCAAGCCTGTAATCCCAGCACTTTGGGAGGCC